CACTTACAGTGGGAGAAAAGTCTGTACCTAACCTTCATTTCTTTGCCAAGTGGCTTAGGATAAACATTTTTTAAAGTTCTGCAAGCATTTAAGAGCTTTGCGAAGTCTTTAGCAAAAGGACTGAAAACAACTCTGCTTAGGCAGCTGGATTTAGTGGAAGCTTATTGTATATTCGTGTACATGCTAGTATATAAGCAAGTGACTCAGTATTGGACAATTATAAGGATGTATTTTTCTTTTGTTTAATGGCTGGCTAATTAAAGCCTGTGGAGGAGATGACATGGAAACTACCACGTTGTGAATCTTCCATTATTCAACGGCTTTTTTTTTTTTTTTCCTCTGGAAGAACTTAATTACACTGAAGTGCTGTGGGGGTAGCTGAGTGTGCTCTGTTGATGACATCTTTTGTCTTCTGAACCTGACATCCACCCACATGCTGCAGCATCCTGGCTGTTACCTGGCTACTGCTTCTTCCCTCTGTTCTGTGGGGAACCTGATTTCTGGCTGAGTGGTAACCACAGTGCTTGTAGCTAAGTATGTTTGGCCAGCACGAATGTTGCCTAGTATCTGAGGTAAAGCTACTTTGTAATGGTATGTGTGGCCACAGTTGCTTCTTTCTCTTAAGAGGAGCCTGTGTGTGTTTGCAAAGTAGTTTGTAAATGCTTCTGGCATGTGTAGAGAAAGCTGATGTATGCAGCTTGACTTTAAGGTTTAGTGGTGGTCTGAAGTACTGCAAATCTGAACACGTGAGATAGCATGTAGGATAAACATGTTTTGTCAGTGTATCTCACACTTAATCTACAGCTGAGTGATAAAAGGTGTGTTCAGTGGCAACTGCATTAATTCCTTCTGGCCCTTTGCTTGCAGCAATTGTGCGTGGGAGCGGTCTGTAGACGTGCCCAGGCACAGATGTGCTTTAAACATAATCCAACAAAATCTTGACCTAAATCAACTGGTCTAGTTGACACATCCTCAAAACTGTCAACAGAACCCAGGGGGCTGGTAAGTGAAAGACACGAGCTCTTGGCAGCAGTACTGCTGTCAGACCTGTTGCTTGTGAAATGATACAGCTGCACACACATGCGGGATGAAGGCATCTTTCCATCCGTAATGCCAGTTTGCCTTCAGTAGTGTTGTGCAGAGATCCTAAATGACAGCAGTGACAAGCTGCTATCAAAGCAGTTGCCACATAGTAGTTGGAAAGTGACTGACATGGATTAGTGCAACTTGGTAGAAGATCCAACTTCAAACTTGTTCCCTAATCTTGTCTGCCGTGATGTTGCAGGTGGTTTTGGTTGGAAACAAGCTTTGCTATCAAGCCAAGCCAGTCTCTTTCTGAACTCTGCTGCAGATGAAGCTTGTGTGAATCTAAACAACTCTGAGCTGCTGTGTTGCTGGTAGCTCCAACACTGCCTCATACAAGATCTGTCTTGAAGCAATGATGTTACAATCTGTTTCAGATGTTATTAACTACTTTTTACCCATCTGTAGTCAGTTCATACCCACAGCTGTGTATGTCTCCTTCAAGAGGTCTTGGAGGCTTGCTGAGTTTGGAGAGGTGTTGGTACTAAAGCAGGAAACTGAGTTTTGTCCATGGCAGTTTAAGCACATAATGCTTCTCCTGAACTTGTTTGCTGCTTACAGCACTACCTCATCTCTATGTGAGGTAACACTGTTGGCCCCTGAAACCTTTCAGAAGGTTGTTGATGCTTCTAGTAAGTCAGCAGGGTCTTTGAAATGGGAGTCCTGGGTGCCCCATAGCAGTACCGTGGGAGGGAGAGAAGCTCCATTTGAGCTTTGCTGCTTGAGCCCTGGAGGGGAGCTGTTACACAAGCTGGGCACTGCGGCAGGGTTTGAGTGACCTCTTTTAGGCAGGAGCTTTCAACAGCCATACTGGGTGGGCCTGGAAGCTGTGTTCTGCCTGCTAAGCATTTAATCCCCTCCTGTCCAGTGTGCTCTGTTTAGCATCCATGATACAGTTTTAAATGTTCCTAGCTTTTTCCCCTCTCCTGCCTAATCCCTGTAATGCTGCAGCCAGTCAGTTCTGAGTTTCCTGTGTCTGCTGGAGCTGGCATGCTGCATGGGAAGGAGATGGGGAGGTGTTGTTTGGCTCCCTCAGCAGCTGGGTCTAACTCCTTCCCTACTATCAACTGCTATTTTTCTACCTTCCTGTGAAAAGAGGTGCCTAACAAAATGGCTTTGATATAAACTATAGTTTTAAATAAAAGGCTTAAATAACTGTTAAATACGTCTACCTTGCCCCTTTACCAACTGAGTACTGTATAAATGCACAGTCAGAGTGAATTCATTGAAATACCTGCTCAAATAGCAGGCGCTCATAAGGTGCTGTAGCACGCTCTGGCATACAGCATTTACTCTAGGACTGTGCACAGGATTCTGTGCACCGTTTACCCATATGCTTTTATTGCTATTTTGGGACAAGCTGGCTCAATCATTTCAGCACCAGCTGGAACTATATCCTAGTGAGCATTATCCCTAGGCATGGCTGTTGCCTTGAAGTAGTGTCTTAAAGATAGAGTATCCATGGAATTGCACAGTCCCTGCTTTCCTGTATTTTTAAGTCTCTAAATGCCACCTCTGCTGCTCATGAACTCTGTGTTGCTCCATTTTCCTTTGTAGAGAAGGAAGATGCCATTTTCCTTTGAATGGAGGATGGAACAGCTTCCCAAAATAAAAGCACTCCTGTTTCAGAATTGACAGCAGTATGTCCCCTGTTGGTGTTTTAGCAAACAGTACTTCCTTCTGATAATGGCCTCTCTTACACAGAAGGGGACCTAGTCACTCCTTTCTTAAGAGTGGGCTATGCAGAGAGAACCATGGATAATATTTTGCAAGTGTGCCTGTGCAATATTTTGTTCTGTGCTGCCTGTTGCAGCTGTGGTGAATGAGCTGCCTTGTTAGAGGTGAAGCTGTGTGTCCCAGAGCTCAGGACACTATGCAAAGCAGGTCTTTTACCACATTGAGGTAACTGCTGCTTGCTTTTTATCCAGCCTTGGCTATAAATGACTGAAACTTTGTGCACCTAATATTTAGACATGTAAAATTTGTCTGGCCTTTTTTTGTTCTCACTTTCTCCTTTTTTGACTAATCTTCTTGGTTGTTTGTGGGGACACTCAGCTGAATTCTTAACAAATATATCTCCAAATACTTTAACAGTGCTGGCTACTCTTGACCAAATTCTCAGCTGTACTGCAGTATCATCTGCAGCTATGCTGCACCTGCACAGCTTGGAAGGCAGGTGTGTATCAGCTAGCCAGAACAGGCCCCAGCACCAGGGCCTCTGTGCTCGTTGGCAGCAAGTAGAAAATGTGCTGGCAAGACTAACAGCTAGCAAGAGAGCATGAGACTCGCCTTATGGGAATGCTGGGGCATGTGGCAAGTTTTACCCTACAAGCGCAAAGGGAGTGCAAGAGTAAATGGATGCTTAACTAGCGGTGCCAAGCAGGTAACTTCCATTTCATCAGAGCTGGATGGGTGCAGAAACAAAATTAAAGCAGCGTCAGATGGGGCATGTACTTGCTTGACTATCTAAATTATCGCTATCAGCAAGAATCATTGTTATTGTGTCATAGGATTGGCAAGCTCTTCTGCTTTTAATGAAGACACTTAGGTAAAATTTGTTCTAGTTGGTTGTGGTCAACCTCTCAATCTGTAAGCAAGCCTTAAACTAGATTAACTCCTACACCAGTGGAGGAATTTACTAAGGGTGCACTTGATCCCCTCATCCAGATCACTGATAAAGATATGAGATTAGAACAGTGCTAACAGGATAGTTCAAGACCTTTTGTCACCAGTTTGTAACACCTTACAGATCTCAAAGGTGTGGAAAAACTTTGGCCATTCTTTTCCAGTCAGTAATTGCTATCTATGGGCATTCATTTGGCTATAGTTAATGACATTATACAATGGACTTCTTCAAAGTAACTTGTAACCTTGCTGTAAGGTTTACTTATAGCTTCTCCTACTTTCTTACCAGCCTTTCTCTTATTGCTCTTTCTTATGAAGTATTGCAATGTTATACTAGATATTGGCCTCCTTCATCTGGAGTTAAGACCCAAACTTTGTATGTAAGTAGCAGTATGCAGGAAATGTCAAGAACTGCTAGCTGTGAGGCATCACAAACAAAGGAAAACTAGTTCCTCCATGGCTCTATAATGCAAGGAGATTGGATCTTATGGAACAGTTGTTTCCCTGTGTTTTTATTATTGAATGTCATATAATACTCATTCAACCTTCTGCATCTGCAATTAACAATGATGTGGGCTGGTGGACTGTCCTCCACTGCCTGGAGGACAGATGCTGGACCCTTGTCATGGAAGGTTTAAAAAGCATGTGTGGGGGAAATGAGCATTGGAGTTAATTGCCTGGGGAGTGTGGTACTTCAAATGTAAGACGTACTTCACAGAACAGACAGCAAGGGTGATGTCTATCACTTTGTAAGTCTTTGCTACATACTCCCCTCTCCTCCATAAACAGAAAACCATAATCAAGATGTATGTATAATCAGGGACCTTGAAAATTAATCACTTTTTTATTTCAGGGGAAGCTTATAACATGAGGGATTTAATCTTGCACATACTCAGACTTCATCTCTGACTGCCAGGCAGCACCTACATGGCATTCAGCAGTCCATCTGTTTGGTGTCTGAAAGATGGAAGGATGAAATAGTGAAGACAGAAGATCACTGGAGACAGTCTTTTAAAATACTGCCTGGAGCTATTTGGTATCTGTAGCCTCACTAGTGAAAGGCATGTTTAAGTATGTGAAAACTGATGTATAAAGGGATGGGCTTGGAAATATTGTAGTCACAAAGAACGAAGGCATTTAGGCAAGGTATGCATTTGTTGCTAAGGAAGTAATGACTTCTTCCATTTCTAAAAAGCACAGCTTCAATTATGTATTAAGAGAGGCTGTACAAATCAGACATTAATATGTTGTCATTGGGAGATAAAAGCATAATTTTTTTTCTTTAGAGAAAGAAAGAGAAGATCAAGAAAAGCAGCAGAGGGAAGAGCAAGAAAAAACTGTAGAACACACTTCTGTAAAAGAGGCAGACAAAACCAGCCGTACAGGACGACGTCCCAGTCAAAGTGCCTTGTCCAGTCGTAATGATCGAAGATCAGTGAAAAGTCCTCAAAAGACAGATGTGCCCAAGGAGAACAAACATCCATTTGCTCTGTATGGGTGGGGAGAAAGACAGACAGATACTGGAAGCCAGAAAACTCACAATGTCTGTGCTTCTGCTTCAGCGAATGAAGTAAGTAAAAGTTTGTTTTGTTAAAGGGCAGTGACTGCTTAGTGCCTGGATAAGACACATGTCTATCTCAATAAAACTTCTCAGGGATGTCTTTATTTGAGTGTATGGAGACTCTAGCAATAAATTCTAAAAAAAAAAAAATTCTAGCAATAAGCCTGAAGAGGTTTGACATGTCTAAATCAAATAGCTCTTAACTGTTAATCGGTTTTGAAACTTCCTGTGTTTGACTAATATTTGCAAGTTCTGATTAAAACTTGGCTATCTTGTTTCTGGCTGTTACAGTGCTACCAGCAAAACTGGCTGTTATAAATGTATTTCTGCATTCTGAACTTCATGAAAACAAGAGAAAAGCAGCAGGCAGTTAGCACCAGGCATCCCACAGCAGGCAGGTATATAAACAGTGGGGTAGCGCTTGTGCTGAGAAAGGGTGACTTTTCTGGGGGCACTCCCTAGGAACAGGAGCCTTGCTGAGAAGGTATGAATGCTTTGTTGCTAAAATGTCTGTCTAGCAGCCTGTTTCAGCGGGTTGCCAGCAGGGAGCTTTTTGCTGACAGCAGAGTGGTCTTTCAGATGCCTTGCAGGGTTGATGTAAATATTAGCAAAATAGCACAAATATGATCATGGACAGCACCAGAATTCTGCTGTAGTTGGGGTCTGCTTCCTGGCTTAGCAAGAAACACTGAAGTTTGAGTGTTACAACAGATTAATTTCTTTATTTTCTATAACTCTCCTAGGCTGGTAAAACATTGTTAATGTATCCCTACCAGTGTCTTATCTTACTACTAATGTAGAGTCTAAATCTATGACCCAAGATATCCGAGGATTAAAGTGAGTGGTGTTCTTGATGTACAAGATAGACCTGACTTCTGATGGGCTGTTCGGGAAGGGGTTTGATGCAGAGTCTTTTCCTTCCTGGACAGCTCAACCCTTGAGGGAAGTGAGGAACTTGGGCCTTGCAGCTCTTGAAAGAAGATGCTCTTCCTGATAATGGGCACTGCTGTTGGATTGATAAGCTTTGGTCAGTGGTGCAAAGAGTTGATCGGTGCTTTATGTTGAAGCTTAACAGAGGCTGATGTCTGACTTGAGCAGAGACACTTAAGACTTTCTAAGACTTCTAACATCTCTTATGCTAGAAACAGTTATAGAACCCCTAAGATCGAGTCTTGAGTTTGGAGTGAATGGGCAGGATACTTCTGAAACATTTCCAATTATGTAGTGCTTTGTCACTAAGGATGTTTCTTTGAGTAGTAACTGACTACTTACTGCCTGGCTAGGTCACTTTTCTTGAATGTTTGAAGGGTGTTACTTTCCCCTAATTGACACAAGAGACAAGGTTTTAAATATGGAGATAGAAGCAAGCAAACGTAGAAGCTGGCTCTTAATCATATTTTCCCCAAATTTAATCTTATTAATATACAAATATATATAGGTGTGCCTGCAGCATGTTGTCAAAATTGAGTTCTTCAGTCTCTAAGGAGTCTCTAGGGATTGGTCTTACTACTATGGCTTAGGTTTTAAGGGATGCTTGGGCATGTTGAGGGATGTTTAAGAATTTTAAACTGGTAGGAAAAGGAGAATTGAGGTTTTTAGGACATGTCAGAGTAAGACTGAGAAACATTCAAGATTTTTTTTGAATTCTTTAATAGTGTGAAGTGGGAAAGATAATGTAGAATATAATTTGAGACATTTTTTATAAAAAAATTTCAGTGCTTCTGTTAGTGGTACAAACTATAGAAGAAAAGATAATCTTGCTAGCAAACCCTGTTTCTTCAGGATGGGGACTGGGACAAAGTGATCTTCAGCTTTCCTGGGAGTGCTTCTCTTAGTGGTACAAACTACAGAAGAAAAGAATCTTGCTAGCAAACCCTGTTTCTTCAGGATGGGGACTGGGACAAAGTGATCTTCAGCTTTCCTGGGGGCGTTCTTAGGCTGTTTTCCTGCTGTAATACTAGCTCTCATCTTTTAGATTCACGAATCTGCTCTACGAGCGAAGAACAGGAGACAAGTGGAGAAAAGGAAGCTTTCTCAGAGGCGAGTACGATCAGCAGAAGCAGAGAAAACTTGGCGAATAAAGCCCTCCCCACCGGATAACCCTTGGATGACAGAGTACATGAGATGCTACTCAGCAAGAGCTCGGTGAATTTGGATTCCCTTAGACATCTCCAAAAGAAGTTATGCATATCAGGACACTGGTGCAAGGAACCAAACTACTTATGCAAGGTTTTTATAGGGAGTTTCCAGCTGATAAAATATTTGTTACAATATTTTTATCTTGGCTACCTACCTCACAGTGGGGTGTATCATTGGAGCCATAACATTTGAAGAGGCTTTTAGATATAGCTACCCAAACTTTTAAATAATTCCCCTTTTGGGAATCTTTCTAATGCTCCAGTTGACTTGTTCTGGGGGCAGGAGGGGGGATCCTTAGCATACAGGGAGTCAAAGCAAAGGCTTTTTAAAATCTTGGTTACAAATAATGTTGTCCCTTATTTTAAAAGTCCAAGTCATAGGGAGGTGGTGTGGGGGAAAGACTTTAAAGGTGTGATGCAGGTGCCTTTGCATTTATAGTAATATTTGATTTAATACTTTTACCAAAATAAGTAAGGCAAAAGGAAAGCCAGTAGGTCTGGTGAACAGCACCAGATGCTTTAGGCAGGCAAATACCAAATATTGCCTGTATATAGAAACTTTCAAAAAACCTTGTTTGATTAGTGAATCTGCTGATGCTAACTTTTATTGCTGTTTCTAAAGTTGTTAGAATAAACTACTAATTTTCAGGGCAAGAAACAGCTACAGGATTGTTCTGCTGTTGCTGTACCTGTGGTACCAAATAACTGATGTAGACAATCATTATCTGATAACTGCTTATTGAGCAGCAGCTTCTTCTACCAGTATCAAGTTGTACCACTGTATTAAGCTTGTGGTCGCATTCACTCTCTGCTTAATCATGTGAATGCCAGTTTATTGAAGGAGTGGGCTGGGTCCTGTCTAGTGAGGTCCACTTTCAACACTTAAGGATATCAGTTATGCTCAGTGGGGGTCAGAGTGCAATATGCATTCCATTTGGTGGTATTGCACAACTATACTGCTAAAGGTTTTAAACTTGAAAATCATGTTGCTGAAACTTGTAGATGAAGTCCTGAGGAGCTTTCTGTCTCTCAAAATTGGTGCAGAACTTGTCATTACAGGAGCTGATAGCTAGAGGATGAAGGAGAGGTATGCCCTTTAGTAAACAAGAACATATAATGGAGTTTGAACACTCTCACTTTGTAGGTCCTACTTCTACACAGTGAGACAGTAATTGTTTGTGAGGTTCTCAGTGGATTTTTTTTTTACCTCAAGCTGCTGTAAATTTTTTCAGTTTGATAATCAAGCTTTAGGCAGATTATTGCTGTAGCTGTGAGCTTCAAAGTTTTTTGTTCAGATGTGTTGTGTGTTAGTTACATATGTTGGTTATCTCAGTTTATTGTTGTGAAGCTTGTGTTTTAGACTGGACACCTCACAGGAAGTACACTTGCACTTCTGCAGCAGAAACTTGTGCTAGTCTTAGCTTCATTCCACAGTCTCAGTGAATAAGCACAACTCTGGAACTACTACCACAACACAGAGTTAAAGCTTAGTGAAAAGTTGGATTGTGTTATTGAAAGTAAGTAATTATGCAAGGGGACCAAGCACTGCTGCCTCCTAGTGTTAATTACATGACAACAGTAAAGGTTTCATTAATCTCAATTTTGATCTTACTAAGATGGTCTAGAATTAATGAAGTTATAATCAGATTTTTACCTGCCTTTTAAACATAAAGGTTTAAAAATACAGACAACTCTCATTCAGGCTACCTACTAGAGCTTTTAAGTCTGGGAATGTGCAGTATGATTAAGTATGTTTTATACATAACAAAATTACTGTGTTCCAACTTCAAGTTGGAATCACAGGCTAGAACTTCCTGAAACTTTAGAACAGTGCCCAAAACTGAGGCAAATTATTCCAGAGGATGCCTTGATTCCATATGAGATTCTTTTAATTTCCTTTTATGCTGTGTTTTCATCTTTAAATAGCTACTGTAAATATGCTTAAGTTGCTTCTGATGCCATTTCAATTTGGAAATCTACCCTAGCATTGAAAAACAGTGTCAAAGCACTAACTCATGTTTAACAGCCTTATTCAATAAAAACTCTGCCAGTTCCTGTTGCCCACAGGCTTTGTAGACTTTATGTAACTACAGCAGATGGACTGTGCCCTCAGTGCATTTTGTCACACTAAACAGCTTCCTTGATAGTGTAGGGCAGGACTCATCTTGGCATGCTTTCAAAGCAGCTTCTACAGTTCAACTCTGCCTGTTCCTGTTGCCCACAGGCTTTGTAGACTGTAGACTTTATGTAACTACAGCAGATGGACTGTGCCCTCAGTGCATTTTGTCACACTAAACAGCTTCCTTGATAGTGTAGGGCAGGACTCATCTTGGCATGCTTTCAAAGCAGCTTCTACAGTTCTCTCTTCCCACTGAAAATGGAGGAGACAAGATGACTGTGCCTGCCTCAAGTATCCATTTTTGGACAGGATGGATCTCCCATTAGGTGTTGGTCTTTCAGTAATTATTGAAGGCTTAAATGTCTTCTGCCTTGCATATTGGGTACCAAACTTCAAACATCTCAGACAGGCTTGTTCAGGTGTTCTACAGGGCATGAGAATCTTCATCATCATCAAGGCTGCGGTGTACTGAGGAGATGAACTAGTTCTTATCCTTGCCTGGTCAAGAGCTGTTCTCTACCAAAACAATTTGGTAGAAGACAGTAGTGACACTAATCCTGTCATGTGAGTCACTGTTATGCTTTTTCATATGGTCTGTAGCTAAAAATAATCCTGGTACTATCTTGGTTTAAGTAATGTGATGTCTGAAGTGAGGGGTAAATTATTTTGCAAATTGGGTAGCCTTCCTGATTTGGTAGGATTAGTGTCACTACTGTCTTCTGTCATGTGAGTCACTGTTATGCTTTTTCATATGGTCTGTAGCTAAAAATAATCCTGGTACTATCTTGGTTTAAGTAATGTGATGTCTGAAGTGAGGGGTAAATTATTTTGCAAATTGGGTAGCCTTCCTGCATTTGGGCATTATTTGACTAAAGGCTAGTACGTTTACTTAGACTATGTGAAATAGTGTAATTCTGATGACTGCAAGTTGTATATGCAAGATATTGGGCACATGCAAGTCTGGAAAACCATTATTTTAGTGTTTTGACATTAACAAATGAAAAGCCAATTGACTTGGAAACTGGAACTTTGCAAATGTAAAAGCTTTAGCTATATTTCATAGATTCTTATAGGAGGTGTCTGTTTTGCATCAAATTGGACTCACTAAAAAAAAAGGAAAACCTGAACTGACAGGGTGACATTCACTAGGAAGTTCTGAACTTTGTCTTGCATGGACTCTTGAATTCAGCCAAGTGATGAACACTTCTTGCTCCTGTTTTAGAAGCAAAACTGTAAGAACACAGTGCATACTTAGTTGTCCAAAGTCTTCACTGAAATAATTTTATTCCTTTTTGTTTCTGAAAGTACTTAGCTAAGTGAAACAGGACTTTTACAATGTGTAATGCTGCAGCTTAACTATAGTGTTGTGAAAACTAGTGTGTCAAATGTTACAATGAAAACTGCATAAGAATGTTCCTGTAAAATACAGTAGCATGCCTGTTCAGTCACTGCTGTCACATCTTTGCAACTATGAATTACAGACTTGTCACTGGAAGCTGAGATAGTCAAGGTGATAACTAAACTGAGAGCCAAACTTAACAAAACTGAGGGATAGACCTGAATTTTTTGTAAAACTTTATCCAAGTAGCAAATGAACATTTTAATCAAATTTTTAACATGTAGGGAAGAGTAGCTGTTATTTTTTTTTATGGTATAATGCAGTGCCACTGAACTATAAAGGCCTCTTTTTTTTTTTTACTGTGATAGGGACCAAAAGCTAGCAATCAGCCTTATGTGTGGTAACCTGGATGTTCCAGTTTATTTTTCAGCTCAGTGCATTCAGCAGCAAAGCCATATATGGAGCCTGATGCAACAGCTTGACAGTAGCCCTTATAAAATTAGGGGTACAGGTAACTGGGAAGCTGCCTCAGCTATTGTTAGCACTGAATTCACTTTAAAACTATAGGGAAATACCATCTAAGCTTGAAGCAATATGTGTTTTTTAAAGTTTTTAAACAGTGTTTGTTTTTAATGCTTCTGTATTGTCTATATTTAACAGTGGAGTGTCAACTTGTATATGTGAATAAAATGAGTGACACAAAGTGTGTTGACTGCTTGTACTGTGTTTTTTGAGGTCTCAGGTTTTCCCTTTACAGTGCTCTTCAGCCTTTGTGTGCAAACTATGGCTTCTGCTTCTCCTATATACTCTCATGAAAAGTGACAGGCTTCTATAATGTTAACTGGTGTTGGGTAAAGAGTTAGATTACAGTTACAAGTCCAGCTGAGAGCTGAGCTTGTCTCACATGTTCCTCCTGTAATTCTTAATACCCTTTCCTAATCTGACTGGCTTTTTCTATCACCATCAAGGAAAAAATAGAGCCTAAATAGCTGCCTGAAGTGCTATGCATGCTGAAGCCTTGGGGAATCTTAATTTAGAACTTGGGAAAAAGAGGGTACCATGGGAAAAAACAGGAAGCAGTATCATTAAGAACAAGTATAATCTTGCAACGGGGAAAAGTTAAGCTATAAAAAGACTGCTACACTAAATTTCTATAGTAAATGAATGATACCTGGTAGTTTTGTTCTCTGTGGATTTACAATGCATTTCTTGAGATTTTTTTATAGTGTTAATTCTTTTGGCATATGCACAGAGTAATTGGCTGGGTTTTTTTTACACATTCACTCTTTAAGGACTTAGGGGAGCTGTGTGCCTAAAAGGTACCTAGTTGAATAGAAAGAATAGATGAGGTGGGTCAACTGCAAATTAACTCTGAGTTGTCTAATGGTCTGGAGAAGCAACTTCCCATTACTTTAGCTTTTTTAAAGCATTAACTTCTGAAGCCTAGATGGATCTATCTCAACTGTAGTAGTTAGTACAGGAAAGACACAAGGAACTAAGTGCACCTTTGCAGCCATGATGTCTCAAGGACACACAGAAGGGAACCAATGTACTGTTCCTCTCTAACAGGGTGGCAGCAGCAGCGTTGCAGGGTTGGTGTCTCCCATGCTACAGGCAAAGCTGCCACCCAAGAGTGCAATAAGGGCCCTGCTCCCTGCTGCTGCTCTCCCAGCCCCATACTGACCATGCAATGAATTCAGCAGAAGTGTTTTTTTAAGACCATCAAAGGTTTGTCATGTACAAATTTTGTTTGCTAAGCTAAGTCCATAACAAGTAAATAGAAATTGCTGTAGGACACCTAGAAAATCAAAGATTCTTTATTTGGTGCTAGATACAAGCATTAAATGAAATAGTATAGGCCACCAGACTCATGAAAAGGCAAGACATAGGCTTTAATAAGACATTTAAATCTTTCAAAAGTCTGAACAGCAGAAAATTCACATCCAATAAATCCTAGGATATAGGTACCCAGAATTAAGTCATGTAATGCTCCAAGCCATCTTGCTTTGGTAAAGTAAGAATTTTACACTAAAAACATCCACAATTTAACCTATTTATCACTCATTATTTAGGTGAGCTAGGTTTGGGTTGCTGGGTGAACTATAATGCTAAAGCTTAAACTCTAGGGCATGATGTTCATTTTTAGAAAAAAAAACCCTCAGAGGAGAAACAGTAAACAATACAGCTTGCACTAGTGAGAGCTATTGCTTCCAACAGTATTTCCCTCAGGAGTTACCATTTTAGAAAGTTTCTTTGTAAAATGTGAGCTATGCAGCATAAAAGGCTGTGATACTACAAAACATACACATTAACCTGGTTAATGTGTATATAGTAAGAGTATACATTAAAAAAATGGTAAAAACATGTCAAAAACATTATAATGTCACTATTCTTTCCTTTCAGGGAGGATGGGGACAGCTTAAGACAGCTGGTTACAGAAAGAGTAAAACTGTGCTTACTGCTTGTTATCCACAGACACTTGACTGAAAGGAGTGTTAAGAACCAAGTGTACAAAAGAGGCCAGTCTTGTATGTAAAGGGAAAAGGAGAGAAAAAAGTATACGAAAATCCCTGCCAAACCCCTAAAATTTATATTTAAAAGTAACAGAATTAAGTAACAGTCAACTGCTCCTTTCAACTGCTGTTCCAATAATGGAAAGAAGTTTTGACCAACAGCCAATGCTGCTTCAAGCAGAGAGACACCTTTAGTGTTACTTGTGCTATGTCCCAGCTGGTAAGTGCTCAGCTTTCAGTTGTGCTAGTGGTAAGGCAGGGGTGCAGACTTGCCAAAAATCTCATTTTCCCAGCATTCCAGAATTGGTTTGGTATTTTGGAATCAACACCCTCCCCCAACTCTGGCAGAAGCACAACACCTCTCAGTTGAATAATGTGCCATTTGGATGGGTGGAGGAGACAACTACATCCAACATCTACTTCAGAGGACTTGCTTTTGGTAATTACTTGTCATTTAGAGTAGTGAAAAACAAAATAAATTGAATAAGGATCAAGACAGGTAAGTTTCTATGGAGGTCTTTGATGTCCTCGTAAATGCACAGTTAAGCTGTTTCAAAAATACTTTACACTCTTACCAGGAAGAGACTACTCGTTGAGAAAAATTATCAGTTATGTCACACATCCAATCCTAATTACAAGAAGATCCACAGGAGAGAGAGATATAAGTCTTCAACCCCAACAGCATTTTAAAAACTAAACCTAGGCTTTTCATGTACAAAGTAAACTTAATTCCTTTTAATTCAGAGATGACTTAAAGTGCATAATTTTCAGATAAGCATACATTTGAACCAAAAATGTCAGGACAAAGAGAATAGTTTTAAAGACAATTCTAATTCCATGAAAGATAGTATACCTCTGTGTAGCATTCTTGCTTTGCTCTTGTGGTTTAACTGCCCTCCAAATTACACCATCAGTTCAGTTTTCTGGTGTAGTTTTTAAACATGCATTTGACAAGTGACCCTTACATAGAAAAGATTCCTATGTAGAAGATAATAAAGTATGTTTGGCCTTGGAATTTCAGTACTGGGTTCTGATAAAATTAATTATTGTGTTAATTTGCACTTCCAAGGAGACATCTAATTTCTAATTACATGGGTAACCAAGTAAAAATATCACTAGTGCTTTCCATCAGTGCAAGTGAAATTGCCCCCCATCAATTGGTTAAATTCAGCTACCTCAAGAAACACTATCTTAGTTCTGCAGCTCATTATCTGGAAAACAAAAGCCACAGGTCTCATACCTGACTGGTTGTCATGGCACTGTAAAAATTATATGCAATACTTGTGGTTTGGTCCTCCCTCTCAGACCCTCTGCAAGTCTCTTCCTCTTCTGTCTCCAGCTGAGGAATGAGGACAGAACTCCTACTCTCTTGCTTCATGCCTCTTCCCCACCACAAAAAGAAGGCAGGAATGAAAGTCTGAACTGTGTGTTTTAACATGGGGAAAAAAACAACACAACAGTACCAAGGCTGAAATTACCCTTGATGAGTTTCACAGGAAGAAAGAACTACATAAGCACTATGCTTGGTGTTTTGTTTTTTTTTTTCTTCCATCACATGAGTCTCCTGGGGGCAGTGTGGACAGCATTACATACAGTGCACTCACATGAAGTTCAAAAGCAGAGCTCCAGCAAGACAGACTGCAAGTTCCTAATTTTAAAGTCTAATTTTAAAATTCAAGTTCTTAATTGTACTTTATGAATGTTTAAGAAAAAGAAATTAGTATTTTAAATTTCATACATTCAGGATACTTCAGAACCACCCATTTGGGTTCAGTTTGTACCTCGCCAGGTATTCTTCAACAGAGATCGTATTTCTACAGCCAATTGCTCTGTTTGTGATAAGAGGTTAGGGGAAGTCCTACTGTGATAATTCTCCATAAGCCCATGCCTGCTCTAGACATAACACACCAGAAGATGCACAGTTCTGTTCACATACACGTTCCACCTTCACAATGCCAGTGCTACACAAAACAGCAGGACCAAGAAAAAAAATCCAAGTCAGTCAACAGCCATTTAAGAGACTTAAAAGTATTTTTTCTAAACTTTTGAAGTTTGATAAAAGAGCTTCAAAAGTTATTTAAGAACTGTGATAAAATAGGATATGTGGACATCAATAAAAATTACTTTTCCAACTTGATGTATTAGTAAACATAAGCATAGGTCCTAACCATATGTTGAAAATCAGTCATGTCAACAGCTTGTCAGATCATGGCAAACTAAGGAAGAAAAAAATAAAACAACCCCTCACTGCCAGTGCCAGTGGTTTTATGATTCAGATCACAAACTATTGTGCAACAAATGAACATGACAAAGCCCACCTCAGTTAAATTTGTTAATATGATAAAAAAATAAAATATTAAACTGCTTGTAGTGCAACAGTCTATCAGCATATATAAGTATACCATGCTTTGTAAATGTACTGTTACATTATTTACAGTATCTACCAATGCTTTAAACTAGAGGTGAAAGAACAAAAATAGGTAGTGGAAAGTGTTTACATACAGGCATGAGTCTTACTATTGTCCACCGACTTATCAAGTGCACTTTGCAGACTTGTGTCACGCAAACATTCCTGCCGCACACCACACGGTACACCTTTCTGTCAGCAGTGGTCTGCTCTGTTTGTAGATAGTGGAGAGATGTGTTTGAAAACTGCATAGCCTTCAAGCTTTTCTGTTTCTTCAAACACCATTTACAAGGACAGCTGTAAAATACACAAGAACTCCATCAACTACCTACATCTGATCAAACCAAAAACTCAATTCCTGAAATAAGATCAATAAATATTCATACCAAAGCTGAACTACATTAATGCCCTTTTCCAGCAGTCTCTTGGCTGAAGGATGATATTTTATAGGAGGAAAACAAGGGAGGAAAGCAATTCAAGGATTCCCATCCATTATTTAAAATTCTGATCTTTAATTGAGAGCTAAGCACCCAAAATACAGAAATATGAGAATGCAGAATTGTATGCTGCCTTATTTAATGTTCTTAAAAGGTTCTTCTGGTGTGCACTGCTCAAACTGACAAATTAATACAGTAAAAATCATACAGTAACTATTCCTGCAGTACTTGTTTAGTTTGATACCACTGTCCTCGTATTAGAGAAATAAGGATTAATTATATCAAAATAATTAAATACATAGAGAGAAAGGACTGTCCTAAAAGCCACTTACATGCTGCACGGAGTTCAATAAAATCCATGAATACTGAGAGATGTCTTAAGGACAACTGTTTATAAAAAAGACTAAGCTGTTCTTAGGAATACGTTATGTGACCTCTATGTCTCTTCCGCTACCACTGCTAAAGTAAAAAATCTGTTATTTACTTCCTCTGAAGAATGTCTTTGGAAGACATTTAGACGACTGCACATCCCTTCCATAGGCTGCAACAACCCCAGAGGAGCTACTTCAGATGACAACAGCACTTAAGCTACTACTATTCCCTTGTTTACATTTCTGCTCATAGCATACAGGAATCAGAACAACTTCAAGTTGTTTTTAGGTGGG